AGACCAGGAAAATGAGTTTTCCACAACTCTGAATAGGTAGGGCTAAAATAGTTCTGCTTTTTTTAAATTTGGAAATTGACTCTGAACCATAAAAAAAAATCTATCAAATATTTTTGGCCTAGAAATCTGTAATTTTATAATGTTATCTGTAATTAATTGTGGTTTAAACTAATTGTATAGTTCACAATCTGGGTACCTTTTGGTTGTTATTTTTCTTTGTATAAATTTATTTAAATAGGTGATTTTATTCACTGTTTAAGGTACATTTATTACCAGGCATGGTGGCACATTCCTTTAATACCAGTAATCAGGAGGCAGGTGGGTCTCTGTGAGATCGAGGCCAGCCTGGTCTACATAACGAGTTTCAGGACGAATAGGGCTACAAAGAGACTACCTCAAAACAGATTAAAAAAAAAAATAACAATGAACAACAACAAAATCAATATTTATGGAGCACATACTTAGTTGGCAGCCCCTGGGTTATGTAGCACACAAGATGAAATACATCGCCTATCACACCTGGGAATGTATTTGAATGAGGAAGAGAGCTACAGGAACAGGTGGCTAACACCATGGTTCATGGTGGCTCAGTAAATGTGCTTTCCATTTCTTCCACATTGGAGTCAATAGTGCATCATGTTTAAGGAATACCAAGGTGTTCAGCTCACAAGATCTTACGGAAAGTTGGAATGACTCATTTCCTTCTTATAAAAGTTCAAGTTATCTAATTGGACTTAAATCCCTCTCAGTTGGAGGGAATTCATGAGTGGCAATGTAAGCATAGCCAAATACACAGGAGTGGAGAGGACATAGCTCCTAGAAAAAAACCTTACCTCTATCGTATCTCTAGACATATATCTGAACTTTCTTACCATAGTATGCTAAATATCAATCCTTATATTTACAGACAAATGTACCATACACTACTAATCAACAGATGGAACTGTTACAGAATTCCACAACTGGTCACACACAGAGAATATACATCTGAGAGATGTTCAGGCCTAAGTCACACATCTGCAGTGGAACCTCTGCACGTAAGATATATGGAACATAGTGGAAAAGGGGGTAGAGGGATACTAATACATCCCTCAACTCTCACAAGAAAAGCTTCCACAGACAACAAAGTGCAATGCACACAGTAGGTCGCAGCTTGCTAAGTTTTAGAGAACAAGAGACTGTAGACACTGTGTCCCTAGGTATTAAACCTCACACATCCATGGCACAGGGACCATTATGGAAGAGGAGGTGGAAAGATTGTAAGAACCAGGGCTGGTACATGAACATAAGGACACACCTTCAGGCCGCTGGAAACTTGTTCATATGAACTTGCAGCAAAGCTGAGAGTATGCACAGGACCCATGCCAATTCAATCAAACAAAAGCTCAGCACAGATTGAGTGAAATAGCCAGCAGGAACTAACACTAGCCAAGGAACTATTGACAAACGATCACTGTGGAGTGAGGGAGAGTAGTATTTTTTTTTACATTTTTATTGAATTTTTATGTATTTCATACAGAACACCTCAATCGATCTTAGTCATCTTTATACCCCTTCCCCACCAGCATTCTCCCATAGCCCCCACCAAATTTGAATTCATACACCCTATCATTTGTCTTAAGGCCTATTGTGTCAAGTTAGCATCCCCAGACATTCCTCAGTACAAGCTCATCTACTGAGGTCTAGTCAGCCTGTCTAGAATCCTTCACTTTAAGAAGATCAACTCTTCCTCACCCAAGAGTAATCAGCTGCCAATAACTCCAGCTAAGATTGGGGTCTGCTGCCAATTTCCCCAGATCTATCCTAGGTTTTTGTCTGCTTGAGTTTGCATGGTTCCGGTACATGCTGACGCCATTGCTCTAGGTTCATGTGATCAAGTTCTCAGGAGCTTGTAGGACTCTGTTTCCATATGATCATGTACCTCCTCCCTGGCTCTTGCAATCTTTGTACTCCCTCTTCCACAATGGTCCCCAATCCCTGGGTGAGTAAAGTTTAATATAGGAATCTTGTCCAAGGACCAGCATTCTGCAGACTCTTAATCTCTATACTTTGGCCATTTGTGACCTTTTGTGTTCCTGTTTCTTGTTGCATGAGGGAGTTTCATTAATGAGAATTAAGAGAATCATTAGTGTCCTCTTTATCAGTTGTACTGTGTTCCATGAGTCTTAGGTATAGGGGCTACATTGGAGATATGCCACTTAGGGTTGGGCAATTCACAGACAATATCTGTGTGTGACCAGTTGTGGTACTTGGTAATAGTCTCCATCTAGGGCAACAGAAGCTTCTTTGATGAGTGTTGACTGGGATATTTGTCTGTAAATATAAGGATACATATTTTTCACATAGTAAGAAATTACGTTAGTCTAGAGATTTGCCAGTCTTGGAGTTTTCTCTAAGATCTATGACCTCTCCAGCCCTGTGTATTTGACTATGTTTACAGTACCACACATGAGTTTCCTCCCACTGAGCAGGCTTTTAGTCTAATTAGGTAGCTATTGATTGCCCCCAACGTAAAAGTACCTCTACTGCATCAATGTCATATCCTGTGGCAGTCATTGATGTTATTTGGTCTTGAAGCTGGTATTAATATTGGGAAAATGACCATCCTACCAAAAGCCATTTATAGAGTCCATGCAGTGCCAATCAAATTTCCATGGCATTCTTCACAGAATTAGAAAAAAAAAATCCTAAAATTCATGAAAGCACAAAAGACCCAGATAGCGAAAGCAACCCTGACCACAAAGAGCAATGCTGAGGGGATTACTATACCAGATTTCAAACTATATTACAGAGCTATAGTCATAATAACAGCATGGTACTGGCATGAAAATAGGTCCACAGATCAACAGAACATAGTTCATACACAAACATGAGTACATGCTATTTCAACCACCTAATATTTGACAGAGTCTGAGAACACTCACTGGAGGAAAGACAGCATCTTCAGAAAATGATGCTGGGACAACTGGATCTCCACCTGCAGAAGAATGAATCTAGACCCTTATCTTTCACCATGCACAGAAGTCAACTCGAAATGGATCAAAGACCTCAATGTGAAACCTGAAACTCTGAAACTATTATAAGACAACATTAGCAGTAACCTACAAGAGAGAGGTATAAGAAAGGACTTTCTAAATTGGACATCAATTGCTCAGGAATTAAGGGCAATATTCAACAACTGGGACTTCATTAAACTAAAAGGTTTCCATACAGCAAAAGAAACAATCAAGGAAGGGAAGAGAACCCTATAGAGTGAGAGAAAATCTTTACCAGTGATACATCTGGCAGGTTTAACATCCAGAATATATGAAGAACTGAAAAAACAAAGGAGTAAGAGAACAAGTAGCCCAATTAAAAGATGGGCTAAGGATCTGAGTTAAGAATTCTCAAAAGAAGAAATGAAGATCCTAAGAAAATCTTTAAAAGTGTTCAACATTGTTAGTAATTAGGGAAATGCAAAATAAACCACTTTAAGATTTCACCTTACCCCAGTCAGACTGGCTAAGATCAAGAGAACAAATGATACCAAATGTTGGAGAGGATGTGGGGAAAGGGGAACACTCATCCACTGCTGGTGGGGCTGCAAACTGTTTCAACCACTATGGAAAGCAGTGTGGAGAACTCTTTAAAAACTACAAATGAACCTACCATTTGCCCCAGTTATACCACTCCTTGGCATATACCCAAAGAACTCATCCTATTGCAGAGACACTTGTACATCCATGTTTGTTGCTTTTCATTTCACAATAGCTAAGAGATGGAAACAACCTAAGTGTCCCTCAACTAACTAGTGGATAATGAAAATGTGGTTCATATATACAATGGAGTTCAACTCAAGTTGTATCCCATGTTCCAAATGCCTTATGGAAGGATAGCTAATATTTCTTGCAAATCAGATTTGGAAGCAGTTTTTATAAAGTAGAATTAAATGTTTTTACGTATTTTTGAAGCTAACACAAAAATGCCATGGATCATCCCTAAGATGCCTTTTACTTGAATTCAGTTTTATTTGTTTAATGATAGTATTCACTGGTAGTACATTACTTTGTAAATCACATTATCTTCTCCAAACAAAGCCATTTCACGCACTGAAATGCCCATCTTTGAAGCTCACACCAAGAACTATCAGCAAACTATTCTGCCTGCTAACACAACCAGAGACCAGTGCTTCCCTCCTCCTCATTCCTTGAAGATTTTAACATCTGCCTCCCTGACTGTTCTTTCCAGTAGATTTGATGGTGACTTCAAGATCCATTCTTTCTTTGATCTTGATTACTAATTGTGTGAGATCTCCCCACCCACAATTGCCTGGAGTTTCATCTTTGTACAGTCTCCACCAAATGTATTTCTAACCTTGAGATGTAAATTTAGGTAGTTGTTGGGATTAAAGAATACTTATTTTATTTCAGTTATGCTGTGCAAAATGTGAGCTCTGTCTACCAGTTGCTCCTTGCTCCATGCACTGTGTGGCTTTCAATCTTAGATTCTAATTTTTCTCCTGTTTAATAGGAGTTGTGAGAGTGTAGGTCAAAGGGAAGATATGTGTCTTTTTTGTGTTTGGAATGTTGGAGAAAAAATCCCTAATGAAATTTGCAGCAGATGTTTATATCATTTGACTTTAACAATTGAGAGTGATTTAACTGGTAACTGTTCATCTATATTAGGCATTGCCTGTTTTGATTTTATGAAGTGGTTACGAGCAGAACACTGTATCAGATAAAAAAATATGACTTGCCTAAGTTCACAAATCTAGTAAGTGAAACCCAAGTGTGGACTGCAGATCTGATTCCAAATGCATTTTTTTATTGTCACTAAAAAGTGCATTGTTTCAAATGGCCAATAGTTAAAATAGCTACCTTGGTTTTCTGCCCAGAGCTGTGTTACAATACAGTAGTGATTCAATAAATATTGTCACCAGTAGTATCTGTGTTGGTGGTAGTGCAGATCAAGAAATATACTGAACTGTTCTAATGGATGCTCTTTATGTTTTTGGTTTTTAGGTTGGCAAGCAGGATTTACAGCATAGAGACCCCAATGGAGAGCAAGGTGGGTGATGATTCATGCTAAATCGTTCCCTCAATATGCTGAACACTACAACAGCAGCAAACGTGAAGTGCCTCATTATACGCTGTCAAAGCCGATAACAGCAATGACTGGCTTTCCTCGCTAGAGCAATTTGTGGAAGTCCAGTCACTACAAAACACAACTGAACTAAAGAAAAAAACAAAACAAAACAAAACAACTAAGTGGCAACATAGGAGAAAAGACCTATTCACTGGGTCTTATCGCAGATTTTGTATAGCTTTCCCTTAGAGCATTGTTAACAGACTTCATGTTCCCCACTCAGCTCCAGAGATGACTGACCTTGGGATCGATTTCTCCTGTGAGCTCCTCCTCCTTCAGTCAGTTCTATGGGCTAAAAATTTTACAAGGGTCCCTGGGCTCATGGACACAGCTGCTAATGTGGTCCCCTGTGGAAATACTCCTGAAGCACTCTCCAAACAACCATGACATACTCATAAACGCCCTTCCTTCAGCAATAGCATACCATCTATTGGTGGTAATCCTATCTATAGAGGAATAAGGTCAGAAGGCAGCAGGCAGGAATACTGACTCTTTGCATTATAATCATATTTTTGTCTCACTAAATTGCAATCTCCTTCAAGATAGGCACTTAATCCAACACCTATAAACTGTAGTTTTTCATAACTGTGTGGTGACCAAGTTACTACATTTCTTTGGGAAAAGTATACATACGAAGGGGCTGTGGCATAATCTTCCTGCCTTCCCTGTCCCTAGCACAGATCTGGCACGTACTAGGTATTAAATGCCATGTTTGCTTAGTGAAAGAAGGATGAAGTGAATAAATCTATCAATCAGATAAATTAAAGACCAGACAAGACAAATAATTTCCAGCCATCACAGAGAGAGTGTGATGGCTTCCAATCAATTTTTCCTTCGGCCACCAGGCATAATACCCTGAAAGTGGTTGTTTATTTTGGAAGGCAAAAGCTAATCTGCAGCTATTTTCTTTATTTTTATATTCAAATGCCTATAAAACAGAAAAGCGCTGGAGACCTATTCATTGCTCACAAATGATCTATGGGGTAATAATGTGCTTGCCTTTCCAGCTGTGCTGCACTTTGGCGCTATCTTGGGTTTAATTGAAAATATGCTGTGACCTTGGTTTTGTTCACTGGGCATGGGGAGTTATAACTAGCATGAAACCTCTGAAGAAATCTCTTTTCAACGAATGTCATTTGGCTAATTTGGGGTTCGCCTGAGGGAAATAATGTATGAAGTCCTGTAAATACAAGATGCATTTTATTCACATGCCATTCACATGAAGTTAATGACTTTTTAAAAATCAATCTTTTATTTCACAATGCTTATTTGTTGAATCCTAAATGCTATCAGCATGACAATAGTATTGTCCTGAGCAGTCTCATGTTTCATCATAATTAAATAAACAGCTTCTGAATTGCAGTCAAAAATGTCTGTGTGCCACTCTTAAGGGGTTTCCATAGAAACTGTGGGCAGCAAGTCTAGCTGGCATTTATTGGTCTTGAGGCTGTATGGAACACTGATACCCGGTTTTCCGTCTGTTGTTCTGCCTGTGTGTGTTCTTTGCTTCTTTATTCCTCCCCAAATCTCTCCTTCCCTCACTTGGCTCCCTACCCCCAACCCTCAACCCCACTCCTGTCTTTCCTGTCCTCCTCTTTCTCTTATTAGCATCATGGAAGTAAATTGGACTCAGTTAGATTTAACAAATGCAATAATACTAAAATGGGTCCTGATACTTAAGTGTAATTGTGTTATTAGCTGGAAATGCTTTTCTTCAAAACTAAAAAAAAATGGACAGTGATTTGCTAAGGTAGCACATGTTGGTAAAAGGGAACTGCTGGTCTGTGGTGTGTCTGTTAAGGCTTATTTTCTTTCCCAGCTGTGACTGTTCCTTGATTTATTCAACCTAGACTGAACTTTCTTCTAAGTCTTAACTTTCAGAATGGAACAGAATAGCACTGTGCTGAACTTGTTTCAAGAAAACAGGGGAATTAATTTGGGAAAGACAGCAAGTACCTATCCTGTATCATATATTTTATTAGCTATTTTCTTCAAACTTGTTTTATGTAGGCCTACGAACTTCACTGTAAGGCAGTGAAGCTGATTATTCAAGTTTAAATCCCACCCAGGCTGACTGGAAAACCTTACACAGGTGCTGAAATATGCCATTTTAGTTTTTGAAAATGAAAATGAATATGAACACTTGTAAGTAATGGGGTTTGGTTAAGATTAAAGATGATAAAACAGGGCTGCGAATCTAGCTCAGTGGTAGAGGGCTTGTCGTAAATGCATGAGATCCTGAGTCTGGGTTCAATCTCCAGGACTTCAGAGGTGTTGGGGGATGGAGGGGACAGGGTGAGAGAAAGAAAGAAAATAATGTAGCTAGTGAACTATAGTAAACTATCATAGTAGTGTGCCTCTCCACAGCTTGCGAAACAAGTTGCAAAAAGAGTAAGTCCTTTATCCAAAGCTTCCCTATGAGAATGCATAGTACAACAATTAAACGGAAGGTTTAGACAAACGTGATCAGTTGCTAATTGAGTTATTTAGGATAAATGAAAATTTTACACTGTATTTCATTCTCCTTCTCTGTGAGAGGGTGACAATTCTGACTTCATGAGACTGTTTCAGGAATAGACAAACGTAGATGCAAGATACACAGTGTGGATTTTTATCTCTTATTCTTTCAAAATTTTCAATGTTTTTCTCTTTTTAATATGGAGTCAAGTCAGAAACAATTATGCAATTCAAATTAATACCTATACTTTAAAATGATCTGTCTGTTCATAAACTATTTCAGATTATCCCAAAAGCACCAACAAAAAAAGAAAAACAATCCCAATTGGGTAGGTAAGAAAAAAGAGGCTTCAGAGTTGCTAATGACAATATCCCAGTACTTTGAATAAGAAAGCTGACTAAACCTGCTTCCCCAGGGTCCTTGTCATAATTAAAAGTCTAAGTCCTTTATTCTAGACCCATTCTTCAAGAGTTTAAGACTAAACCCCACCAGATAGAACTTACCACTAAGCTTTCTAATCAATGTGAGAGGAAGACACTTTGGTAGTGAAGGAAGAAAAGGAGAGAGGTGATGATAGTTACAACTGTCTCTCCCAGGCCTATGTCCAGGTCCTCATGATCAAAGGGATGTGTGCAAATGAAGCCTCAGGACGGAAAGGCATTGAGATTGCTTAGCAATATACCTAAGTGCTGTGATTTGGAGAAAAGAAGATAGTAATAATTTTTACATAAAAAGAAGCAATTGGGTTAATTAACAGTCATAGATGCAGGTGGACAGTTGGTGAATTAGGAAGTGTTGCTATGTTGAAGAAAATGAGGAAGTAGGACAGAGTTTGATAGGATCTGGTTTGTGGTTAAGAGCTGTTGTTCATAAATCTATATTGAAACACTTGCCCACAGGAACATAGGTATAAGGGATTAGCGAGAAAAGTTATCCCCTTAAAATATCATTTTTTTACTTTAGAAAGGTCCTATTGAAAGTAAAATACTGGCTCCTCTTTTCCTGCTGTGTGCCTTTATCTGCCTCATTAGGACGTTCCTTCTGTACTGCTGTTGGGAGAATCATCTTAAGCCACTTTCTCCATTTCTTGGGTATTAATCACAGATAAACACTAGAATGCCTAATGCCACACAGGGAGCCCAAGAGATAGTAGTATGTCTCAAATGACTGCGAGCATCCGATCCAGTAATGATGCCCGGGGCGGGTGCTCTTCTAGAATCCTCTCCTATCAGGATTTCACACATATGCTATCAGACACAAGGCATTATTGCCACATGAGTGAAGCTTAATTTTTTCTTAATTCTTAGACGAAAATTAACCATAAGTAGAAGTTTACCATTTTCTTCTATGAGTTAGTGCAGTCACTTGGTAGTCTCCAAGGTGATAACTGTAAGGAGAGGAGTCTCTTGGAATGTTCCAAAGGAGGGTCAGTCAGCCTTTTCTTCTGAGGGTCCTACAATAAATATTTTAGGCTTTCCAAGTGTTAACACCTGCTACAACTACTCAGTTATCCACTTCAGTATGGAAGAAACACACTGATAATATTTACAAAAATGGTTGTGTAAATGTTCTAATAAAATTTTATTTATCAATATAAATGGTGGACCCGAGACAGCAACTTTCTCAAACACTCATATTAGGGTTTTTACATATGTCTTAATTTCCACTCAATCTCTATTAACACGATAGTTGCAACTTTGAAAGTGGGAATGGGGCATTCAAGTGACAGTCATGCTGTAATTTACATTCACGCTGTGGAGAAGGCCACTTATTTTTCACTAACATTTATTATTCTAATGTGCCCTTAGCATAGAAATGACTCACATTTCATCTTCAATTTATAAAATAGTAGAGAAACTTTAAGTGACTTACATTAATTTCTCTCCAAATCTACAACATCCATGATAGAACCTGGTTATAGCCTTGTTCTTTAAAAAAAAAAAAATTGTTTTCAAATTGCTTACATATATATGACATACTGTTAATGCATTCCCCATATCCCCTCTTTCCTTATCTTCTTAGTCCCTTATCAGACTTCTTGATCTCCTTATATCTCCCAACCAATCTCACTCACTACTCCTCTGTCTCTGTCTCTGTCTCTGTCTCTGTCTCTGTCTCTCTCTCTCTCTCTCTCTCTCTCTCTCTCTCTCTCTCTCTCTCTCTTTCGTGTGTGTGTGTGTGTGTGTGTGTGTGTGTGTGTGTGTGTATGCAGGTCTTGTATAGTTGGTCATAGGTGCTGTGTATTCATAATTTTAACTTCCATGTCAGATTCAGAAGACAGCATTTTACAGTGCTCCTCTACATCCCCTGGCTCTTTTTAACATTGAATTATTCTTTCTAAAATGAATCCTTCAGAGAACAAAGACAGATGGTGGGACAAGAAACCAAGAAGGAATTTTCATCTAAACTAAGAAAAGTAGGTTAACTGCTGATGGCTTAAAGAGGAACTTGGAGAGGTTTCCTT